CCCAGCCTCCTTCTCTATTGAAATTAGGATGTTTTTTAATTTCAATAGCCTCACGTATCATCCTTGGTAGGAATCGATGTTCTTTCGCGAGGATTTGTCTATCAAATCTGATGTAATGGTTGGGGCCATCTAGAATATGATCGCAAACTGCAGACTTCCCGGAACGTTGATGCTTCACGTCAGCTATGTGTTCTTTTACGCGGGTTCTAATTGATCTCTTTGTTTGCCCTATATATGAGAGACCACAGTCATATAATAAATGAATATAAGAAATCATTAGGATTATATACCATTGTTCGTCACTCCGTGGTAAATGCTCCCGAGCCCACGAAAGCCGCCAAACGCGATTGCCACGTCGCATGCTGGAACACGTAGCGGTCTCCGAGCACACATGACAACTTTACTCACTCAGATGATACTCAGTAAATTTTATTCACTCAGATTAATAACAAAAGAAAAACAAAGAGCTGCGTACATTTATCGTGATGCGAAAAGCAAGCCAAATCCTACTTTTTTATTATCCTTCTTTATTGAAAAAGGCTTTCATCCTACAAGGATGTGCCAATCTTATCGTACCATACCTTGTTCTATCCTGTCGTAAATTATTAGAAAGGTGGAAACAATGGGATAGGAATATAGAAATTAATGACTTTGCCACCCCCAAGTGTGGCTACGCAAGTGTACTTAAAAGCAAACCTATTTCACCCAAATTAACCAAAACCCAATTAAAGTAAGAACATGTTCTGACATACACCTACATCTAAAATCGTTTATAACCAACAAACTGGTTTTAGGTGCAAAATAACGTCCTTCATTTTTTAATTTTTATAGAATAAGGCTGACAAACGAGCTCACAGTCCACCTGATAGTAAGTGTATGTCCATACGAGCCCATACGAGGGCGGCACTGAAAATTTCGGGAATCAAGGAAGTGACACAACATTACTATTTAAAAATGTATTTATTACTTTTCGAAGTATTCTCTGCGAAATTTAACACATTTTCCATACGATGGAACCAATCATTGAAGCAACCATTCCATTCGGAAGTTGAGGTCTCCAAAATGACCGTTTTGTAGGCGTCCATAGCTTCTTCACGTGATGAAAATCTCTGTCCTGTGTTACGCAATTTATTCTTTATTTTAGGGAAAGTATAGAAATCATTAGGGCTTAGGTCGGGGCTGTACGGTGGATGGTCTAATAATTCTATGTTTTCTTGCTCTAAAAACTCTTTTCTTCTGTGTGCGGTGTGAGAACTCGCATTGTCGTGATGGAGGATGATGCGGCGGTTGCAGTTCTCTTTACGGAGTTCAGAAACGACCTTTGGCAAACAAATGTTAGCATACCATTCTGCATTAACCGTTCTTTGTCCCTCAAGAGGAATAATCGTAACATGGCCGGTTTTGAAGACAAACGTGGCCACCATTTTTTTTTGCAACACTCCGTGAACGAACAATTTTTGTTGGCTTTAACTCATTTTCGAACACCCAAACTCTTGACTGGTTTTTTATTTCGGGTTCGTACGCATATATCCAGGATTCCTCATCTGATACGATGTTGTATACAGCATTTGAGGATCTTGCGTGGAATGTTTCGAGAGTTCTGACGCACCAAGTAACGCGAGCCGCTTATTGCTCTTTACAGAGCGAATGCGGCATCCATCGGTAAAACAACTTTTTTACACCTAATTGTTCATGCAAGATTATTTGTATTTGACTCATGCCAATGTCTAAAGTTGCTTGAATTTTGCGGTATGTCAAATGTCGATCTTCCTCAATCAGCTTACGCACAACATCAACGTTTTCTTGGGTGACTAAAGTTTTTGGACGACCTTGACGGGGATTCATCACTGATCTTGACACGTCCACGTTGAAATTCAGCAAAACAGCGATGAATTGTGGTTTTGGATGGGGCTTCATCACCAAATGCAGAAATCATCCATTCAACATACTGTTTTTGTGTTAAACCACTTCGAAAGTCATAAATCATCGCTCTTGAATTTTCTCGAGTCAATTCTATGTGACAAGACCGAGAATCTTTTTTTAAATAAATAAATGGTATTCGATTTTTGAAACCAAAGAGTTTTCAATTAAAAAGACTTTAATATGACAGGAACAGTGGAAATATTCCATTCCCGATACTTCTAGTGCAGCCTATTAGACATCTACATTTATCTTCAGTTAAAATCAACGCAGACGCGTTGCCAGCCATGAGGACTGAGATAAAATGCCTCGTTTCCAGTAAAAATGGTCTCCGGTTCTCTACACTCACCATACGAAACACAGCAGTATTAAGCTACTATTTTACGCTGGTATTCTCTGAAATTGTGGTCCTACTCCGGTCGAGTCGACCCATTCGAGCTGCAACCACAATATAGCTTCAGAATGGCTCTAACACGTGTAGAAATTAGATCAGACCAGATTGAATTTCTGTCACGGTGACCAGTCTCGAAAGAAACTAGCCATCTGCGCAGGACATGATTATAGTGCACGAATGTATGCGCAAGTACAGGTATATTCCCTATTCCCTCACTCTCTTAGTTCGATGGAACGGTAAACCGACACGACCGGTGTGAAATGAGGCGCTCGAGCTTTTCTATACGGTGCTTTTCTAGGTACTAGGGTGAAACATAGCCGACTTCTTGACAGAAAAACCAAATTACTGTTTGCAACCGTGTAATGGCGGTGTAAGAATATTCACTACACACGACAAGGGGAATCAAATCAGGAGATTGGAAAACGTTGTTGCCAACCGTCTTGCCAAGCGTGCCAACTAAAAGGAAAAGAAAAAGGAACCCTTTGTTCAACAGTGGAATTTAATAGGATTTAATTGTAGTGGTTGTAACAAATATCGTACAGTTGTGTCATATTGTAATTAATATTTTAAGTAAAGTTACAGCCTATATACGTCCCACTGCTGGGCACAGGCCTCCCCCATTTCTGTTTTTGGGCAAGGAATTGTCCGCCGCGCTGCCCCAATGCTTGTTGGCGAACTTCACATGTCTTCGAAATATTTTTTTTTCTTATTCCTCAGACATGCAGATTTCCTCACAATGTTTTCCTTCACCGACGAGCACGTGGTAAATCAGAACTTTAAATTGCAATTAACAATTTCATTGGTGCCGGCGGGGTCGAACCCGGATTACTCGCGTTGTGTTATATTTACAGCGAGCGTTAACCATCTGAGCTACCACGGCTCATATTTATATATTAGTAATTTAATTAAATTGAAGTAATATTCTACCCTTTTGCTGAATGTAGTTAGTGTACAGTTTGGTTTTCTTTGTTGCCCTTAGGTGGCCCATAAACACCTACGTCTATCCCAGATTAAACCGAAATCATATGCACCAGATCATGACGCTTTGCGCCCTGTTTTAGAAATACAATTTATATTAATATGTTTCCTATATAATTTAAATAGGTTTTGTACGGCCAATAAAAATAAAATCCATGAATTTTAATATAGATAACACTGACAATAGACTTGAATGCAAAATGTATATCATTAGACTCCATCTACGTTATCAAAGCTTCACGTCATGCGATAGCTGTTTTTTTATCACACACACTTTTTCATCCCAAACCGTTTATTGTTATATTTATTTATGGTACGGCCATATTTATTAGGGGAAAAGGTTTTTAATTTCAGTTAATGCCCGCCATTAGGGATTAAAAAGGGCTTATAAAATTGACTCCAGTGTTGCGGTATAATTTGTCTGTGAGCGACCTTTTTAAAAATAATCTTTTGATGTGTGCGTGAGATCGGACCGGATGTGGAGATATTTTTAATTGGATAGGTTAAAAATGGCTTATTCAGTAATAATTGGTTATATAATTATAATATGGAAGCGGGTTATAATCGTACATAGCAAGGTGAAAGAAACTTCTACTTAAAGTAAATTAATTTGATATATTGAATTATTTATTGTAAAATTAACCTTCATTTAAATCTTTATACTTGTTTTGTATTATGGTATTGGAAAAAAAGTACTTGATACAAATTTCGTGAAAAAAACTTACAGACAAACAAACTTCTTTTTTCACTTTAGAATTTTTAATTATATTAATAAAATATTAGTTATTTTTAGACTGCGGTTGCTCACCCGCCTACAAAACATGGTAAGTATCGCCATATGAAGCAATCTGTAACTGAGGCCTAAGTTTAACTGAGAGTTTTTAATAAGCTGTATTGAAAAATATGCTAAACGGTTTGCATAAAAATACTGAATTTTTTACTATAAATATATAAAGTACTTTTATTTGGAGTAATAAAATTTATTTTTTGGAAGCATTAAAGTATTTGTATATTTTTATAGACTGTAAATGCGTTGAAAACCATTAAAACTAATTGTTTGAGACCTACACAACCCCAGCAGATGTAGACGGCGCAGTAATGCCATGGGTGTTTTATTTCCGTCCGGATCGAGTGCTCTCAATTAATACAATATTTGTCACATAAATTATATAACGACAAACGATCGGGATCCCGGATACACAGTATAAACTGTCCTATTCATGATGCGACCTATTGTTGCGGATACAATAGGTCGCGGAGTGCAGGCGGCGCGGGGTACCGAGAGGAGGGAGGGAGGGGGGAGGGTTCGCAAAAACTGCACCAGACTTAATTATAAAGAGACAAGAAGTGCTATTAAATACCGATTCGTTAAATCTACGCTATCGTGTTAACACGACGACTTTACCTTCTCTCTCGTTTACGTATGCGTGTGAGAGGGACGGGTAGAGTTTGAAAGCGCTCTCCAGCCGAGGGGCGGCGTCTCGGATATAAGGTTTAGATTGACTGGGCGGTCTCTATACAGGTTCTTTTTTTCTGTTTGCGTCCGGTTTGTGAGCTTTTCATTTGGTATTGGAGCGGCCACCCGAGCGGTGCTCCTATATCGTTCCCGGGGTAGATTCTCGCGATGATTGTGTGATAACGTGTTTTAAAGACATCATGCATTGAGTTTTAAGACTGTTAAGTGTTAGAAGTGAACATTATTTTAAGCATGTCCGAACTGCGTGGCTCTTCTCCTCTGTCGCGAGGTGCTCTTGACGGTGGCTTTGGAGCACCTTTGGCTGCGTTGAGCTCTTTAGCGGAGGCACCTCCACCAGCGCCCAATCCTCACGGGATCGATCATATATTATCGAGGCCAACAGTTGGGACAAATGTTGGTGCTGGCTTGTTGACACCGAGGCTATCTCTTGCGGCGGCGGCGGCAGGCATGGCGCATTACTTGCAGCACAAGCCTCTTTACTGGCCAGGTTTTCAGGGATTGGTGTCAAATCCCATGGCGTGGAGGGATCGGCTACAGTCAAGTAAGTACTTTCGAGAAATCAGTATAACATATTAGTGGCTGTGTAAAAGACATCAACGCATTATGTTTCCCCTTGTTTTTTTTCGTATTGTTTGATCAAACGCAGTGTTCGGTATTTTTTGTATTTATTAAACATTCATGAATGTTATTGCATAAATATAAGTTACAGATTAATATAAATAATAATTGACCCAATGACTTCAGGTTAATCTATTATGAACACATACATATAAGTATAACATACCTATATAAAACAAACAACAACAAGGGGTTTTAAAAATAAATATTTTGCTTAAATTATATCTTGACGATACTATAGCTAATATATATCATATGCAAATATAATCACAATTGATAAATGGACTAAATAGGTAAATGAATATTGAAAGAAAGAGATATTTATTTTGTCCGCTTCTTTACAAACTTTAGTGTTTTCTGACAACTAAATATAACATTGTACACAGCATAGCTTATCGAAAAAATGTAACTAAGTAGCATGGCAATATCATCAAAAAGAAGTTGTTATCCATAATGCGAAAAATTTTAAGCAGAAATCACTTTAGTTTTTTTTTTAATTTTACACAATTGTTTTGTCTATAAGTGAATATATAGCTACCCATCAGCGAACTATTGCAATAACTTTCTAATAAAAAAGAAACCCTTAATATATTTACTTAATAAATATCATACTATAACACTATAGTATTTTAATCTTAACCAGTCAAATGATTACAAAATGGAAAATGTAAGGACATGCCAACCGGTCATTCGTTCATTACAGACTATCAGAGTCCACTGCTGAACCTAGGCCTCCCATAAAATTATTTAAAACGAGGATATTTGCCATAATTAATTATGGCACTATGCAATCAAACGTATTTTTTTTTAAAGGAATAAAATAAACAAAAATATTGAAGAAGAAAAAGAGTCTTGTTTGCTACATAGCAATCTCCTCCAGACAACCCAAAAAAGAATTAAATAAAAATAAGAGATAGATTAACGGGTAGGGTACACTAAAACAAGAAAAATATAAAAAAATATACCAACTTATGCATTAAAGAGACAATACTTTAAGTGGTAGATCGTGTTAGAAAAACAATCATATTGAACTATATATCTTTCATTTAGGAGGTTATATGTAGTGAAACTGCAGTTGTTTTTTATTACAATACGCAGATTTTTTTTCTTTTAAAAATTTAGTTACGTTAAGATTAAAATATAACCCGTCTAATAAAAGACATAGTTAATTTTAAAGATTATTACAAATTTACCTAATCTATCAGTAGATTATGTATATAAGATTTAATACTAAACTTCAATAGCACGTTCCTTAGTAGTTACGTGCTGGGTACGCCCGTCGGAATCATTTCCGCTTCCGATTTGGGTTCCGACGGGGCGCGGAACACTGTTTATTACTGCAGGTTATGATCGTTATACAACCGAGTTACGTGCGTTTAAAGGTTATATTACATTAGGTTTAGCAATCTTAGAAGCTATAATTATAATTATTAGGGGTCTTAATGCCTTTGCTTAAATGCCAAGAAAGTTTACGAGTAAAATAATTTAACTTACGGATTGTAAGTGTAGCTTTTATTTTTTAGATTAATTTATTTGTGTTTTTAAACTTTTTAACACCAAACTTTTTCACATCGAGGAGTGGATGCAAGTCACCTCACCTGTAATGTTGTTTTGTATAGCCTACCATACACAAAATTTCTTACATTACACTCCTACATTATAGCCTTTTCAATTAATAAGGCATTTCATCTATATGATTGAGAACTTACAGTGTTATTAAAAATCGATATCAGTCTAAAAGTAATAGCTCTCTCTATATTTTATTTAAATACTTCAAAAACTCTTGTGGCTTACAGAAAATCCATGTTAAATTTTACATGCAAAAATTATTAAAAAGAATTGCATCCAATTATAACAACAAAATTAATAGTTATCACTTATAAAGTAATAATTAAAATTAATAATCATAAATTAAACAATTATACAATATTAGTGATATAAAATCTCTAAGCCTTTAGCAGCCCGAAATTAAAATAATAAATGTAGAGAGACCATCCATTACCATGACCATCTATTAGCCTATAACAACCTACTGCTGAACCCAGCCTCCTCCATAGATTGCTTCATATATTTGGGTTTAGACATAGTTGTCAAGCTTGGCGGGCGGGTTGGCAACCGCAGTTTTTTAAAGTTTTGAGTTGATGTTAGCTGCAGCCCATCTTCTGCTTTATTTCCCCCTATCGCCTCTTACGAGACATACTGGATGATATGGGGTAGTGGATATTCATACACCGCCAATAAATGGTCAGTTACTTGATCATTTCCTTCACTTACTTCGGATATTATCCTTGATTACTTATCTTATTAGAGATATTATAGTAGTGTGTTTTCGTTCAATGGTGTTCTAGGCTTCTACTTTTTAGACTAAATACATAATTTAATTTTGTGTATATAAAACGGTAGATTTTCTCATCGATAATGTGTCCTGGTGATACAATGTTTTTTAAAGCCTACGGATTACGTTTCATTAGGTTTTATAATATAAAGTTATTATTATTTGTGGCCTGCACTTAAATGGTTAGAAGGCAAAATAATTTAACTTATTACGGATATAATGTGTTTTATTCAATGGTAGTTTAGGCTATTATTTTAAAACAGTACATGTTTTAACAGTAGAAATTTTCATATCGAAAAAAAATTTCATTTTATTTGAGAAGTGCTACAAATTATATCTGTCTATATATATATAAAGACATCCATTACCATCCATTATACGACTCCACCAAGGATTTCCTTAGAGCCATAGTTGTCACGTTTGGCAGGTGGATTAGCAACCGCAGTTTTTTTTTAAATAATCTGGAAGATGATGCTGCACAATTTGTTTCAGATTCCCTCTGTCGCCTCTTACGAGACCCACGGAGCAATAGGTTTTTTTATTAATACACGAAACAATATCTTTATTAATCGTGGTAGAAGGTACACGTTTGAAGATAATTAATATTTCATTTAAGTAATCTATAATCAATAATTATGAGTAAGGCCTTAATATATAAATAGAATAAAACGTTTCAAATTATAAATGTTAATTTAATATAAATCTTAATTTATTCTTAATAAAACTCAAAATTAATACAATTTTGTTTATATCAAAGTATTTAGTAATGCGATTTGATAGGCTGTGATAAATTAATTGTCTAAAAAAAATGATATCGTGAAATGTGAAAACAATGTCATATCCTTCCTTACTTAGATGTTTCCGGAACAAATATGAAAAAAAAAACATTTGGAGGAAACCTGCCTGTTTGTGGAATAAAATATTTTTTTTTGATATTGAAGTCCGTCAACAACAGGACTGAAGCAGTTTGGAGCTAATTACAGCATAGGTAACTCTCCAGAAATGAGAAGCAGCATGTTCCCAACAATAGGACGTACATAGGAAAAGCTGTTACGTTATTACCCCACTTCCGCCGAAGGAAGGTTGTTTTTGATTGTGTGTGTGTGTGTGTGTGTGTGTGTGTTATATACTCGTATGAATGTATGTATGTATGTCTATTTAGTTGGCACGCTCTGTAGCCTTCCGGCTAATGGTGTAGTGGCAGTGTTCGAAAATCCACTATTCATATAATTTTTTTTATAAGTCTACCTAATGGTAAGTGGTTGCTGTGGCCCATAGACACCTACATCTATCCCCGAATTAAAATGCAGATGCGTTGTCACTCGTGAGGACTAAGATGGAATCTGTTTCTTGTAAAAAGGTTCTTATAACAGATTGTGTAACTATACTTCTAATATAACTGGAGCATGGCTCTACCACGTATGCAATCAACCCATGAATATCGTATGAGGCGACAGAGGGAACTGATCTAGGAGATTTAGCAGCAGCATCTTACTGATATTAGCTGAATAAAAAAAACTGCGATTGCCAACCTGTTTGCCAAGCGTGGTAGTCCAGGGAAGGTGACTTGTGATAGGCTGTAGTAGTGTAGTAGTTATGGCTCTATAGCCGAAACGACTGGATGTTGTGTATTTTAATACATGGGATGTTTTTAGATTTGTTGTAGATGTGGAAGTGAAATAGGATATGAATTGTGTTCTTTTTACCGAATTCAAAATAGGAGACTGAAACTTTTTTATTCAATATAGGTTATAAATAATACTTATTGTAGGTCACTTTTTTTAATTTACCAACGGTCTGGAAGAATCCCTCTTTCTAGGAAGAACCAGCAAGAAACCCAGCGGGACTTTTTGGTGTACGAATTCAAAACACACATAAAAAAACTGTATGTTTTTTATGTGTGTTTCTCTGAGTGAACCGATTTTGATGATTTTTTTTTTCTGAAAGCTGGTACTTCTAGTGTGATTTCATATATTTTTAATCAAGATCTAACTAGTAGTTTTTGAGTTATCTTTAATAGTTCGTAATTGACTTCGTATATCGATGATGTTCTCATTTTAATTACATAATATATTGAAGTCGGTTGCACAAAATCTTTAATTTTACCACTTGTTCAGTAAACATTCTTGTTATTACCTTTACTTCATTGTCGAGATATGGACCGCCAGGTAGATAATTCAGCGTGTTATTTACTACTACCACCACAAATACAACAAATAGCACCTAAAATAGAAGATGCGCATCTTGATCGTTACTTTAGCTTTTTACTTAGCTTTTATGTAGCACACAGTCTACTTGATAACAAGTGGATGCTGTGGTCCACAGACACCTACATCTATCCTTCAATAAGAATCAAAATTCAGATGCGTTAATTGTCACCGCTGAGGGATAAGATGGAATGTTTCATTTCCAGTAAAAAGGATTCCTGTTCTTTACATTAACCTTACGAAATATAGCGGCATTGAGCTGTTATTTTACGCTGGTGTTCCGTAATTACATGATTCTTCCTCAATCGAGCGAACCCACTCGTGCTACAATCATAATGTAGCTGCAGCATGGCTCTACCACGTTTTGTTATCATTAAGAAG